CCTAGAAGCTCCACTGCTAATTTTAGTGGCTAAATGAGAGCCGACCTCAATCATGCGAGCGAGCTCTTTGGGAAAGTCTGGCCACAAAGCTTTCATCTCAGAACTGACTGCTCCTCAAGCAACCAGCAAATGCCTTCTGACACTGTCCTCCTACTTCTGTGCCCTCACACATGCACTTTGCTTATTTATAGAACGTGTGAGCTTCACATACATCAGGCCGAGTTCCTCGGGACCGAGGTCGCGCTTGGTTTTGCGCAGTGCGGCCGATGGTTCTCCAGGCTCAGAGCAAAGGCTTGCTCTGCAGCTCCCACTTAACCCAGATCCAGCAATATTTCTGGAAGCAGTAAGAACTAACAGCAGCAGGAGGGAAGAAGCTGATGAGCTGGTGTGCTTCTGCCATGCAGGAATGGGAGCGGAGGGGAAATCCCACTGTGTCGGCTGCAGAAAATGTGCTCCAGCCACCTGCAAGGACTGTGGAATTTGGAAAGGTCTGCAATGCATTCCTGCCTTGCTTGAGGGCTGGGAGATGCCAGGGCAGAACAGCAGAGCCTGTCTCCAAAGTACAGGGTATTTAGTGTTGGAAACACAGCCTTAACTCCTACCTCAAATAAAATTGCACTTGTGCTCCAACAGTAAAACACAACAAACAGCAAATGAAATTCACACCTGCACAACAAAACAGTTCTACCCACTGATTTAGTGGAAGTAACCAACAGCAGAAATTTGAGTTGGTTTAGTGGAACTAAACAGCAGAAATTTAAGTTTACTATTTACCCACAAACCTATGTTTACTACATTTATTACAAACCCAATTTTACTATTAGAGATTAGGGGAAGAAAAAGAAAAATTTCTACTTTTTAGAGCTACTTGCAATTTTTTTTGTATTCTAGGCAGTAACATAAATTAGCATAGACAAACCCCATGTGACAATGCATCAGCCTCCATGCAAGGATGGGCACACTACTTTTTGCAGGTGCAAACAACTGAACAGAGAAAAGAAGCCATCATCATGCAAGTATCCCTCTTCATCAGATGTAGGCAGGCAAGAAAATTCCCTTTGTCTAAGGCCACAGTGCGTTTTGGTGGGCACTGAGCTCTCAGGCAGCTCAATCATCACCTAAATAAGCCCTAATTGTCATTCCCAAATGCTTTGAAACTGTATTGCCTGCTGCTGGCACTCCAAAAGTTTTGCCTCTGGAGATATCAGGGAAAAGAAACCGTACAAGATCATTTGCAATTAGACGCAACAACCCCGCGCCCAAATGGGACAAACTGGTGTCAGGGGTAAAAATAACATCAGCCCAAATGGTAAGTGCCTGTAGGTTTGTCAGGAATTGAATGTGCAGCAGCAAGGCAGCAGTTATTAGAGGCTCTGATCAGCAAAGCAGACAATCATTTGCCTTGTTACCGTGCTGCCTGCCCGTGTGAGCAGCATCAAACAAGCATTGAAAGACACCCCGCTCGCCCCTGAAGGGAACACGGGTGGGGAGTATCTGAAAACCTCCTTGTTAACAAGCTAACCTTTGAGTCTGCTGAGGAGGCAAGGAGGCATTTACCAGACACTCTATCAATAATTATGGAAGGAAAAATCGTAGCTCATTGTCAGTCCCAGTGTGGGGAGATAAACAAGGCAGGCCTGGGGTGAGCTGCTCTCCTGTAGGCAACAGCTGCCAAAAAGGCAATTATCCATGGAGATGCTCAGTCCAGGGATGATGTGTTTGGAAACCACCACAAAGTCCTCCTGCTGGTAATGGGAGTCTCTGTGGCACATCTCCCCTCAGGGACCCTGAAATATCCCGGTAAACAGCAACCTGAAATGAGTGGGCAGTGGCATTGCATACCAGGGCTGAAGGCCCAAACACCATGATTTCTGTTCCCTGGAGCTGTGCTGTTTCCCCAAGGCCCTTTGAACCCCTTTGATGGAGACCTACTTTTAAGCAGCAGGTAGTAACTCAATTTCCTATTTTTTATATTTCTCTCTCCTATGTCACCCTGGAGGACTTAAAAAACTAATTATGCTCCAGCATGCAGCCACCCACTTTTGTTACAAGCCTAAATCCTGTTCCCATTTATAGCCTAACTCCATTTTGTCACCAGCCTCACTGAAAGGAAGGAGGGAGAGCCCACCTGAGCCTGCACCAGACTCCCTGGGGGTTGCTACCCTACTCCAGCTCAGCCTTTGCATCAAACCACCAGTTATCTTTTCAATTAATTGTGGGTATCATAGTGGTTGACAGGACAACCTCACTACCAAGGGATAATTTAATATGACTAGACCGTAATCAAAGTGTTAATAGCCTCAAAATTTAATCTGTGCAGAAGCAGGCTTTATAAAATGGAAAGGATAACCAGGGCCCAGATGAAAAATGTTAGTTGTAACATTACAGCTAGTTGTAATAGAATAATTAGTTGTGATATCCAGAAATAAAAATTACACTGCTTTGAGTTCCAGGACGTGTGCCAAAAAGGGGCTGTTAGTCACAGTGATGAAGAGCAGTTATGCAGTCCATTATCTCATGAACTGCAAGGCCCAGAAATGAATCCTGCATGTCACAGGAAAATTGAGACTCTGCATTTTCAGCAATACACAGCTTTTTGGTTTAGCCCTTAAACCAGATCCTTTCTCACTGTTGGAATGATGTGCTTTCCCATTCAGGGAAAGGTGTCCTCAGAAGCCCTCCTGGCTGAGCTTCATTCTCCCTCCTGTGGCAGATGAAGCTCACCCCTGGCATCCCCACTTGCTCCCTTCCACCATCCTCACCAGTCTTGTGGAGGGGAAAAAAAAAACCCCAAAACCCTCAAACTACATTAAATCCCAAAAAAACCCTTTTTCTGGCTTTTCCTTGTAGGGCCAGGATGCTGGATGATGGTTTGGCTGCCTCCATCCACAGGTGTTGCATCCTCATGGGGTCAGGCAGCCCCTGCTGTTCCCTAGCTCAGTGTTCACGGCCAAATGCCTCAATCACAGAATGACAGAATTTGTTAGGCTGGAAGGGAGCTTGAAGCTCATCTTGTTCCAACTTCCCTGCCAGGGCAGGGCCACCAGAGCAGGCTGCTCAGAGCCCCAGCCAATCTAATCCCCTGTAATGCAGCAACACACTTCTAAACCCTGAATGCACAAGGCAGCAATAAAGCTGGTGTTCAACATCACAGTCAGAAAGCAAGAGGCTGTACAGAAACAAAAACTGATGTGACCAAATTTTTTTTTCAATTATGAAGTAAGCCAGTTTTTCCCATCCCATTGTTTCTCCTCCACTTGCATGACAGACACAGAAACAATTGCTTGACCTGATAGGCATTTAAAAAATTACTTGGAATAATGCCTATATCATAAAAGTTACTTTAAAACCATTTTCTGGTTTTTAGGTAGTGATAAAAAAAATTAAATGCTTTTCCAGGTTGTGGTTATCCATTTCTCCTTCATTTCCTCTGGCATACTTTCTTTTCTTCCTCTTCTTACAGTGCCAAAAAGAAAAAAGGAAGGAAGAGGAAAACTGATGAAGAAAAGATAACTCTCTCTAGGGAAAACAGGCAGGAAAAAGAGAATAGAATTTGTGATTTATTTTTTTTTATATAAGAGAAATCACCTGGGATTTAAACAACTGAAACTTTTGTCTCCGTCTCACACACACACACATTCCTTCACCCCCTTTTTCTTCCTGTTGCTTGCAGACTTACACCTTCTGGCAGGCACATAGGTGTAAAACAGCTTGTTTTGCTGCTGGAGTCACCAGAAATGCTGTTCCCAGGAGATGTTTTGTGTGGGGATAACATGAGAAGCAAAGCTGTGCTCTGCTGGCCCTTTCCTCACACACACAGCTCTGTTCTGCAGTTCTGCTCCACCTTCCCTGTGTTGTGTATTGGGAAAGTCACCACTAAACACCCCTGGGGAAGCAGAGCCTGGCTCAGAGGCAGTGAAACACTGCAGGCTGCACTTGCACACACACCTGGCTTTTGTGAGCCGACAAATCTCACAATGGCCTCATTTTTCTAGCAATGATGCCTCAGGTGAGGCCTATGTGGCACAGAAAGGAAAAAGGTTAATTTTTCTGGAATTCCCTGCTTATCTGTTTCTTCTCCCTAACCATCTGCCAGTTTCAGACACCTGCTGTAATATATCGGTTTGTCCTGCAGTGGTTCCTGGAGTCTGTCAGCAACCTGAGCAATTTGTATTGTCAGCAAATCATTCATTAACAGAACTATTCAGTTTCAGCTAACTTCAAACTAATTGTGCATTTAATTCCTATCTAGCAAGATCAAATCAATCAAATAAAAAAAAAAGGACCATGGGTAAATATCAAAGATCAATAGGTAACAAATGAAACCCTTAATTAAAGTCTTATCTGAATGCTAACAAAAACCCCCCAGTAAAACAGAGGAGATTATTTCATATCAGGTCATTCTGATTATCCTCCTGCTGTTTCCCTGGTTCAACTCTGGAGTACATTTTTGGCATCATGAGAAAACCTCTCTCCCTCCCCAGCTGGCAGAGACCCCATGCAGGCAGTTCAATGCCACTTCCAGTGGCAGTTCAATGCCACTTCCAATGGTATTTTCCTGCACACTTTTCCCAGGGAATTGGGAGCTGCAGCTCCTGACCTTCCTGGCAAGGAGATAATTTTACTGCTGGTTGCTGCTGTTTGTGCAGAAGCATCAAGCTGTTAAAGAGGAAGCAGGAGGTTGTTCCCTCCTGTGTGTCATCAGCAGAGGTAAATAAAATCTCTGCACAGGCCTTTGTGTTGATGAGCTGATTACCTGTTCCTGCCCTTGAAGGTTCAGGCCCTGTGTTGTCCGCAAGCCCTGCAATTGCTTTGGCACTGTCAGGAGCATGAGAATGTGAGACAAGGAAAGGAAAAGCACTGCAGTTGATTCTAAACTGTGTTCAGGTGCACAACCTTCAACAAAAGCAAGACCAAATAGATACATCAATAAGTTAAGCTGTTGAGGTCAAAATAGAAAAAGAAAAAAAAAAAAACCCAAACCAATAAATCAGTCTTACCAGATCAATACAGGTGATGTTGGTGAGATCCACAGGCCGTGCTTTGTTGGCAGGGAAGAGCATGGGCTCAGCCTGGAGAAGGTGGCAAACACCACCAACCTCAGGATGCTGCCAAGAGAGCTGAAAGAGCAGAACTCTGAAAGAACAGAACCACCTCCCCAGCACATGTCAGCCAGGCACTGCTCCCTGCTCACAGGCACCAAGGTGACACACCTGGAAGAGGAGGAGACATTGGTGGGGAGCGCAGACAGGAATGGACCGGACATGGGAAATCCCTGCCAACTTTCCTACCCTCCTACTCCCTTTCCCCACACCCTATTTATGCCATCACCTGCCAGTCACCTCCCTCTGGCTGCTCCTCACACCTGAGGGCTCCTGTCCCCACCTGAATGCTGTTGCCTGCATTAGCTCCTTCCTGCATTATTCACCACAGAAGTGCCTTGGTGCAGTGCTGAGTCTGCATAGAGATGGCAACCCTAAATAGAAGTATCTGTAAACTGAAAAAGCATCTTTACATCCAAATACTGAGCTGGACCCCTCATAACACATGTGCATTGATGGGATGTGCTGCCTGTGCTCTTCAAAAATAAATATCAGCTTGGTTACAGCAACTGGGTTTCTCAAAAAATAAACGCACCCAAGGCAATTTACTGTAATAGCTTGTGGTTTAGTAGAATGCTCTAAGTCAGCAGGTTGTTTTTAGGAAAAAATAAAAATAAGTGACCTACCTGCAAGTATGGTACAATGAGGGCTTTCACCATGCTGGAGTGTGCATTCTTGAGATGTGCTTTCCTATTGATGCCATTCAATAGGAATGAACTTTCAGAGCTCTGAACCTTCAGAGCCAGGGAGGACACCCAGGAGTCTCTCTGATTGTGAGGCCAGAAGTGGCTGGCAGCTGCACAGGAGGTTGCAGAGCCTCTGAACCTTCATCACCAAGCATGGTATGCAAGGACCATAGCTGGATTCAGACCAAGACTGTCAGCAGCTTTGGCTCCAGGCACCCTTCTGTTCCTCTGTTTCTGCTGTTCTGCAGTTGTCACAGAACTGCCTTTTACACTGAGCTGAGCAGGACATGAATTGGAAAGTGGTGTATGGGTTTCCCTGTGTGCTGTCTGTGTCCTGACCTCATCCTTTGCTTTTGGGACTAATGATCAGACAACCAATTTTATTTCATGCGTGTGCATGAGATATCCCAGCTCTTTGAGCATCCCCTGCACTTTGCCCCTGCAGATCCTGCTGCTCCTCACTGAGCCAGCCTGCAGACAGGCAGGAGGCAGTCCTGGGAAGCTCTCTCCTTTTTTATGCTGCTTCCCACTGCCCTGGGCAGGAAACTGCCAGCAGAGCAAAGCAAGCAGGGCAGAGGCATCAGCATCTCCTGCACATCTGTCCCAGTGCCCAGCTCAGCCCCAGGTGAGGCTGAAGCCAAAACACCTCATGAAGCAGAGGAGAACAGCCACACTCCTGACATAAAAGGCATGCCAAGCTTTCATCTTCTGAGAGGTTAAAAATAAACAGTTTAGCTTTCAGCAAAGTGGTTTGATTAGAGGCAAGGAAAGCTACGCTGATTTCCATGGAAATGGAATATTTTGTTGCCGCTACTTGATCTTGTTGAAACGTATTAAGAACACAAAAGAGTGCAATTTCAATATCTGGAGAGTGGTAGTATACTTTAAGAAATTTAAATTAAATAGATTTCTTTTAAAAGAAAGCTGGCTGATTTTAGTTTCTTAATTAGTTCATTATCACTGCAAATGGAGCGTGTTCTTAGAAACTTATAGAAGGATATTACAGAAACAGCTGCAACCCACAACAGAAGAGATACAGACATAACCAATATCTGTACATAAAAATCAGAGACTTAAACATTCTCTTAGGTTCTCTATCTCGTCTCTAAAACCAGCAAAGATTTCTTCTTTAACATGTAAGTCTTTCTAATTTTAAACCCCTTACAAAACAGATCCTAGTTTCTATGGAAAATGGATCAATCCCTAAATTTTGTTTGCTTTTTTTAACGTGTAAAATACTTGCTAAGAATGAGACTTGCCTACAAATGCTCTGGAAGCAAAATAACACAATTATCTTGAGTTCTCATCTCATTACTGAGGTAGGTTTCTCCATAGGGAGGTTTCCTCAGAATGAGCTGTGTCCTATTTCAGTTTAACCCAGATAGTAACAAAATAATCACTCAAAATGGGCCAGCACTGCCATGACCTTCCCTGTGATAAATACTAAATACAGGTGTGAAGGAAAGGCTGCTTCACTGCCACAGCTGTTCTCTTTGTAGATGTGCCCCAGAGTACAACAAACTCCAACATTTCCACACACAGCACTGGGATGTTGCCACAGCATGGCCCAACAGAAATTTTCTATCAAACAAATGTTAAAAAATATCTTAAATCTTTACATGTTAAAAATACCTAGAATAACACATCGTGATGGCAACAAGAACAAAATAATTCCTTTTCTTCTTCCATTTCCTCAAAGTGAAATTTCAACAGAAACAATAAACGCTTTAGGTTTTCATTTTCACGGTGTGATATTTTATCGACATAAATTTTATATTATTGGGATTTCAGACAGAGCAACTTGAGCTTCTAACCAAAAGGCTGCTGTATTTTTATCCGTGTGCTGTGTTTTCCCACGTGTTTGCAACTGCCATGTGCTCTCCTTCCAGTAGGGATGACCCAGGCTGGAAAGCAGAGCCAGGAAAGATTTGCCCACAAACCACTAGAGCCCTGATTGAGGACAGATTTCCACAGCTGAGAAGTCACATTAGATATTGGTCAGTACAAATATCAATGATTTTGTTGCTCAAGGGGACCTTGCCTTGCCTTTTCTTTTTTTCTTTTCCTCATGAAATCAGTCCTGCAGTTTCCCTTGCGTTAGGCTGAAGACGGTTTGGCTGAGGCTTCCTGTACATTTAGTATGAAAGGTTGTCCATGGATACATTTAGGAGTGGATCCTCAGAGAGGCAGCTGCTGAAATACCTCATTTCCAGTGCCTGCTAATTTTCATAGCCCTGATGAAGGTGTTGGAGCTCTTTGTTGAATGTAGGGAAAACCACATAAGGCAGCAGCAATGGCAGCTACTAATACGAACCACTGATGGGAAAAGTGTGACCTAAGTCCCATTCCTGGATGTAATTAGGTGCCTGTGGCTCATGAGAAATCAGAGCCTATTAACAGAAGAGCCTGGTGAGTGCAGGTGATGGGGGAATTGTTGGCAAACAATGACCTGGGTAAGGGTGTAGGTATCCCATTATGGCCATTACACAATTCTTCCCTTTTTTGCTATTTCTCTTCTGCTTACAGACACCTTTTTCTTTGCCCTTTCCTGATTCTCTCTTCTCAAATAGGTGAATACTGCAGCTTGATAGACTGGGTCAGCTAAAGCTCCTCAGTGTTTGGCACCTGCAGCCACACAGATTCACTGTGCAGACTTAATTGTACTAAGGACTGGCTTAAGAGCAGCAGATCAATGCCCTGGAGAGTTGTTAGGGTGAAATACAGAGATCTCATCCACAGATAAAAGGAAGGACACCACCAATAATGACAGAAAAGGCACTCATCAGCTATATTTTCACTCATTGTGCTGAGCCCAAGGGGGGGAAAAAAGATGTATTCAGTTCTCCACTTTAGTAATTTTGCTTTTAACAACATCTTACTTTGTATTCAATCAGCAGACCCTATTACAAGAAGCATTTTGTCGGATGCTCAGTGCATGCACAGCCTTCTGTTCCTGGCCAAATCCATTTCTGCCTCACTGCCTGCAGGCAGATCACCTGAGGAGAGGAGACCAGAGCCTGCCAGCCCCACATTTCCCCAAACAAAGCATTAGCCATGCATCAGCAACTTTTATATACAGATTTTCTGCACAGGTCACTTTCCCCTCTGTATCACTGGCACAGACAGACAGACAGACATGCTGCATTTCACCTGCCTGTTCTGGCACTGCCCACCTTGTGCAGCTCAGAGTGTTGGTGGTTCCTGTGCAGCTTTTACATTCCACAGTTTCTATCCATCCCACAGTACCTATCCCTGCCATTTGAATGGTGCTAAACGGGATCCTCCTTGCAAATTTATCAAAGAGTGGGGAAAATTGTAATGAGGTTCTTAGGCTTAACCCCCAGCTTACACAGGAAGATTTACCAGGAAAACACTTCTTTGCTATGTTGTTTTTTTAAAAATCTAAAACCCTTCTGAAATAAGCCTGTGCTTATTTCTACCAGAGTAATGATAATGGATTCACACCTTCCTGAAATGAATTTGAGGTAAATAAAGGATGTGGCTTAGGGAAGAGCTGCACTCACTGTGCAGAGGAATCCAGCTTGCTTAGGAGCCTGTGAAAGCTGTGGCTCTGCAGGTGGGAGGTTAATTTCCAGCAGCCTGATTCCGCAATAAAGCAATAAATACAAGATCCTCCTCAAACCTTTCAGACACCAGCACTTGAGAAGCCCTGAGCACAGATAAGCACCCTTCTTTTAACAGAAATCTCAAATCCCACAGCTTTGCCCAAATCAGTCTCAGTATTTGACTACAGGACAGGGCTGTTGATATATTTATTTAGTGCAGCTGGGGGCCAGCAGGTTGTGGTTAAAGTGGGGCACAGGTTTTGGGGTGTTCCTTCAGGGTCCGTCAGTGGGTGCCAGTTTGCAGCTGCCCCTGAGGCAGGAGGGGGCTGAGCAGTGGGTGATCCTCCCGGGACACTCTTTCCCTGCCTTTTCCTCCAAGGATTAGGGAGGCAGGAGGAAAAGGGCTTCTCTTAACTAGAGGACTGTCACAGACATCTTTTTATGAAAAATCCTTCCCTTAGGATTTTCCCTCCTGAGAAACTGAGAGACCTCAGGAACAAAATCGAAACATTGATTATCTGCTGCTGTGGAATGCAACAGGTGCATCTGTGATTGGCCCATGTTGGATGTTTGTAATTAATGGCCAATCACAGCCCAGCTGGCTCAGACAGGGAGCTGAGCAACAAACCTTTGTTACCATTCTTTGCCATTCTATTCTTAGACAGCCTTCTGATTAAATCCTTTTTTTCTATTATTTTAGTATAGTTTTAATATAATATATATGATAAAATAATAAATCAAGCCTTCTGAAACATGGAGTCAGATCCTCGTCTCTTCCCTCATCCAAGAACCCCTGTGAACACCATCACAGAGAACAGTGTGTGTCCCTTTTAGCTGACTCTCTCAAAAAGCAGGAGCAAACTTGGCTTCCTACTTCTAACCACTCTCATAGAAGGCAGACTAGA